CTGACAACGAATAAAAAAAATCATCAGAATTGAGATTGGGCAAGTGGGCGGGGCTTATATCTTGCCTTTTTTTCAGTATAGATAGTCATATTTTCATACCAAGAAACTTAGGGTTAAAATTCGATATTTCTGTATACAAATTTTCCATTTTAAACATGTTTAAGTTTCATGTTGTGAAAAAGTCTACACAAATTAAAACAACAAGGCAAAATGATAATTTATCATTTCGATCGAGAAACAAAATCCCACCCCATATTTCTGTTTACTTTAGTTAAAATGTTTTCAATTTAGTTGTATTTTTCTAAATTCTGTAATAATTTAGTTTCAAATCAAAAATTAATATTTCTTGACGTCATGCATTTTTGGATGGGATGAAACGTTAAGTTTAGGTTAGCATTTTAAGATTACATAATAGTCTTAAGATAAAGTTTGCTATTATCATTCGTAAGTGGAACTAACACATATTTCATATTATTCCCAACTAAACACGTGCCTCGGCGTGGTTTTCAGTTAAAGTAGAGTCCCCCAAATAGTGAAAATTGACAGGATTATGGTAATGACAAGTTACAGCCCTGTACTCCTCTTCACCTTTTTACCTGAAATAACATAGGTTATATGAATCAGATAAAGACATTTTAGGTTGTAATGGTCAACGATGTTTCGACGTCTGATCCACAAAACGTTTAATTGTTTTGGACAAAGAACCCAAAAGCATTGCTATTTTAGAGATCGGAGTATACTTTTTTAAATTTATTGATGTAGATTAAGTATTGCATAACTTGCATATTTTGACGATCCATCGCATATTTTGTCGGTATGCATATTTGTCTGTATTCTACTTTGTCAGTTGAAAAATTATCGAAACTACCTCTTTTCCCAAAATGCTCGTAAAATCCAAAGTTAGGTCTGTTGTTGTCATGGTCAGCATTTATTAATACAGGTCGCCGTAAATGATTTATTAGGGGGCAATAATAGTTATTTAAGTGTCAGGAGCATAATTAGGGAGATTATGGCAAGAGGGAATATTTAAAGTCCGACGAAGGAGGGTTTTTAATATCCCGAGCGCCGCAACCGACAATTATGCCCGTGGTCCTTACAATGTTTTATTCTATTTTAGTTTCTACAAAATTTTTAACGAAATATTGAGTATTTCCGGCAAGATTGTACCTGGCTACTATTTTGATGTTGTTTATTTGTTAAATAATTCGAATTTCAACATGCTGAAGAAGTGGAAAACATTTATTCAAAAGAAATGTTAGAAGAATTTGAAGTCGACCAGGGAATGATTTGATGGAATATTATTTACCCAACTTTAATAAAAATATCCAAGCTTGTTTGAGTAATTAATTAATGTAAATAAATGATCAATCGTTGAACATTGTGATTCTAAAATAGCATAAAATTTATTTATGATTCTGTTTGGCGACAGTTAAGACCATCTGAACATATACATATACATATACTGCCAGACAAAAAACAAGTTAGTGTTAAAACGTTTTTAACTTCTTTCTATTTCCACATGTGTTTTAAAAAGTTATGTTTTCTGTTAAGGAATACATTAATGTTTTGCGTTTTGGTTTTTTACAAAAGTTCGACCAATTGCATAAAAAATTCAAGTGTCCGGGTTTTCGGTATACATAAATTGAGGATCAGTAATCTTTTAATCTTTTCGCACATGTTTTACTTGCGAAATTTTTAGAAATTTTTCCACCCTTCTTAAATACATACATATTTTGAGGTACAACGTGACAACACCGCAAATGTACAATGTGGTGAGTCCACCCAAAATTGTGGAACCAATCAGAACTCGAGGCATGTAGGTAATAATTTTTAAAATGCACAAATTAGCACTACTGTTGTCCACTATTTTTTTCCTATTTTTTATTTTTGATTGTATGTTAATTTCTATTATCGGAATTTTTTATTTTTAGGTTAGAAAGTAATAAATAATATCATTAGATACTGTCTGTGGCCAATGTCGGTACTCTTCCCAGGTAGGCACCTAAGTAAGTTCTAATCTCTTACTCAGTTCACAATTTGTGGATCCCTGCAGAATTAGTCCTCAATTTAGGTTCACCGGTTTTTTTTCTGGTAGTGTATATAAAAAAGGGGCAAAATATAAGCCCCGCCCACCCGACCTGTGTCAAATGTGTTAAATCGTCGTGAGCCGGAGGCGGAGCTTAACTGCAAAATTCTCATTTTTCTACAAGAAATTAGCATCTAAAACATGTGTTTAAATAATCGTTTGATTAAAGAAAACTAGAAGTATGTGTTAAGTAAAAAAGAAAGTCAAAGATTAAATCTCATCTATAACCGCCCCGATTCCAATTGTGATGAATTTTTGATTCGTTATCAGAATGAAGGGAGGCGCTTATTTTCAAAATCGATATTTCTCTATAAAAATTTACCAATTTAAACACGTTTTAAGTATTTTATTACGAAAAGAAAACGTAGGTATACTAAGAAAAAAAAGCCAAATATAAGCCAATGTCTCAAATGTGACTTTTTTTTAAATCATCATGAGCCGGGGGCAAAATCCTTATTTTTCTACAAGAAATTACCATCTGAAACATGTTTTTAAATAATCGTGTTGATAAAGACTATCCTGAACTTATTTCAACTACCTAACGAAAATATTTTCTGCGGAAGAACGGTGTTTTTTTTTTTTATATTTCATGTTTTTTAATACGACTGTGAGCGCAAGCTCCAAGTATCATAACATGTTTCCACACAGATTCATAAAAGGAAGCGTCAAAATCTCGACGAATTAAAACTGTCGCAAATTTCCTTGAAACAATCTCTTCAAAGCAAAATGAACAACAAGCAATTAATTCAAACTTATGTAAAACGATACTTAGTGCCAATATTCTCCTTAAAAAGTTGCTTCAAAGCGTTTTCAAATAAGAAATTTGTTTTTAGAATTCTCAAATAAGAACTGGAGTGACATCGCAATATGTCATGAAATTTTCAAAAAACTAACTGCGGAACGAATTAGCATTTATTAAAGCCAATTAACAATTTGTTTCGGCAACGATTACAAAATCAGAAACAGCGTATATATATGCTCTTAATTGAATCTGTGGAGTTAATTAAAAATTTGTAAACCAATAATTTCAATATTTCAGGAAAAATGAGCGATTCTGTAAATAAAAAAGTAAAAGAGGTAATTAATAAAATATTGGATACAAGCAATTAGCGCGTTAAAATACATACACACCAGTTATAAAATGTGTAATTAATAGCGTAATTATTCTTTATATAAAAATATGTTCTCGTGTTTTTGTTTGTATTTATTGTGTACATTTCGCTCTTTAACTCTTATACACCTATAATCCTGAGCAATTTGTTGGAAACTAAAGTCGATGTTCACTATTCGGAAGGCTCTATTTTACGTAAACTACATTCTGTAAACTTATTAAAATTTAAATTCCAAGTTATGCTATTTTATTCAGTAATATGTAAGGAACAGATATCCTTTTTCCCGCCAGTAAAATAAGTTGATGTAACGTGTTCTCCTGCGAGCTCCAGTTTCAATAAAAATAAAGAAGACATCTGCCGCATCGAAACAAAATCATCTTTATTTTCCTTTTATTGTTAAAAGTTTTCAGATTTAACTTGTTTGCAATAACAAAACGTAATGGAGGATTTCAAGTTTTCGATAAAATGGTTTTTAATTTAGAATTTTAATTTACCATGTCTAATAGGTCTATTCTTAATCTTTTTTTCAGGACAACCAACAATCAATAAAAGAAGTTGTTAAACATAATTGTGTAAGACGATTCCTGGCCAGATAGCGGCTTTAGCGCAAATTATCAACAAATATTCATTATCAATGACGGTCAAACGGCTACAGCCAATTGCAAACTACAGATTCACTCACCCCTTACATGTGACGCTCTAGTACAGGTCCGGCCCCGCGACAATTCGGCCCCAATCACGAATATGAAAACAGACACACCTGACTTATCTGTCGCTAAGGATTAAAATGAGGTCACTCACCGGGGGGTCTCCACCCCCTAGCCCACTCCTTGTAGATCAGCGGTTCCAACTCACGGCGTCATCTTCAGCGCGCAATCTTCTGGTGATGTTGTCGAGTTACCTGTAATCGCCCTAGCCGTACAGTTTGGGATGTACTGCCCGCCCACAGCCCCCTCAGAAGGAGCGCTGTCTTTGCCAAAGTGGAGAGGACACCTCCACATTCATACGTCACTATATTTCCTCCAGAAACCGGGTTAATCTCCCAACCTAACCAGCAAACGTATTCTCTGTTGCATTCGGTTGCCACCACCGCCACCACCGGTCGGTCAACAGCCAGGACACCCCTTTCACGGCTTTCGCCAACCTGCTGTGTCATGAGCCAAAGGCGCCCCACCTGAGTACGCCCTCAGTGCTCAGGTACATACCATGGTATCTGCCGGAGATTTTACGCGTTCACATTACTCTCGTGGCCCCAGGTTCACACTAACCTGCCACCTTCTCTTATCAACACCTTAACACACAACTCTTTGCCCTTAACACTCAACCCGAGTCCGGCCCTGTCACCACACAGCTGGGCCTTCACGCCCACCGCTATTTTACACACTCTCACGGACTCTGACTAACTCGGACTAACTGCCCTCAAAATGCACCCTCTGCATCTGAGATATGTGTCTTAAGTGGGGGTTAATTATAAAAACTGATTGGTTTGTCGCCTTAAAGACCTGCACTAAAAATTCCGCTTACAATTGTTTATATTATTAATTTCAATAGTGTTAGTAGGGCGGTAATTATTTAAGAAAAGATGTTTGACTTATTCATTGGGGGTGGCCTTCTGCTGGCCACCTGTGCATTTATGTGATAGATAATATCTACACGTGTATTGTTAGTTGCATACATATTGTTAATTAGTTAGCTTGGATACGGTGTAGTGTTCTGTAATGTAATATTAACATAGTTCATGTAAGATGTCGCTAGTATCGAGAACTGCGTATCTGCGTAGATGTCGCTTCGGTCGCTTTCAAACTCGTTTCGTCAGGAAGTGTCCTTGGTTTTTAATGAATTGCACATCGTACACGAGTTTGCAAAACAGATCGGACTTCCTAGTCAGCTGATGGTCAAATTGCGTTTTGGCCAACATGTCTGATAACGGACAGAGACATTCGCTTCAAGTAGTGTAACCGCCGTGAAAATGCTAGTGAAGAAAATTCGCAGTGTTTGTCAATATCAGCTGTGAAAATGTCAGATAGCTGTTCAGGCAGCTATGGACAAGAAAATCGTTGGGAAATCGTCGTAAATTCCATGTCAGCACGTACGTACACCCCGCAAAAACGCACACCCGCCTCCTGCGCCAAAAACGCAAAAATCCCGGTTTGTTGCCCCTTCTGGAGCCTTTCCACCCAATCTCTTTGTTTACCTATTTGTGAGCGTAAACATGCATCCGATGATAATGACGTTCTGTTGACTTTATTTATAACTGTGACTGCTTATAATTCACCTATTGTAGGTGTCGACTTGTCTGCCGTCACCTTGCACTTGCACCGAATCTCGCTTTCGGAAAAATCGACCTAAAAATGTACGCCGATAACGCTATCAATTAGCCAAAACATCTCGTCTAGCCACCACACTGAACTGCGTATTTGTTCCAGGTACTTCTAATTTTGGACTACTCTCGAAGCTCGTTCCTAAATTGCCTTAAAATGCTGTTCGTATTCCAAGTGGACACTGGCCGAATGATGACTTTCGATATGAGCCTCGCTCTAGAAAGGTTAGTCTTTTGTTGGTCAATATTTCACAGGATTGCGGAGGTTATGTTTACGCAGCCATGAGAGGAAATCCTAATCGAACCCAAGGTTTATTTACACCGCGTGTTTACACCACCCATGTCAATAAACAATTAGTTCCACAAGCTGTGCGGAAAACTCGCTTTCCACTCTTATGTGCTAAAGAAAAATAAATCGAGACGGAACCTTGCACCCTGCTCCAGGAGCCACCCATTTGTGTGCTTTCCTATTAAAGCCATTTACACCAGCTATAAATAGCATGATTAACATCTGCATATTTTTAACAACAAGATTAAACCTGTCTAACAAAGTTAAACATGCAATTTATCACGTCTGAGTTTCGCTGCAGTATACGGATTTGTTTGTTCCTTGGATGTGTAATGATGGTCATAAAAGAAAATACACAGCCCAGATGCCCGCTTCTCGTAAAATTCACGAGTGTCATCATATTTTGCCATTTTTTTATAGATAAGTAATGAGTCACCTGCTCAATTATTAACGTGTTTTGCTTCAAGTAGACGCAGTGGCGGCTTATGTAGTGTAATGGATACAATTTTCATTGTAGCTCATTTATTTTCATATATCTGCTCTATTAAACAAGTCTTAAGCTTTTAACACCTTTAATCTCAGCATTAGGTCTCGTGGAAGTGTGATAAAATTATTTTCAGTCAATTAAAAATTTATAAATGTCAGCGTAATGACTACGTGCATAAATAGAACCGAGATCAATTTTCTGTGTATTCTTCAGACGTACTCGCTTGTGACATCATCGGTTTTCCAGTTAAAATATGTTAAAAAAAAAATAGAGTAATGAATCATGAAACGTAAGAATTATGCTTGATTTTACTGAATTATTTTTTCTTGAACGATATGTGAGATAAGTAGAGAAAATGCAAAAATAGATCTCCCGCTTCCGTATGTCTATCGTGTGTCTGTCTGTCGTTTGTGTCGATATTTATTAAATAGACGATCTCTGAAACCACTGAATCGATTATTGTGACCTCAAAACTTTGCATGCTAAATGTTATTTAAATTTTATAATACAATGTACTCCTGTACTTGTGGTCTATCAATCTGCCTTGATTTTTTAACCTGGACGTATCATCTTAATCGGAGAACACGATACCAATTACAAGGGACCCCTATAAATGGATAAAACTTTTCTCCCAAGGTCTTGTTTAACTTAAATATTTGAATTAAAACTTTGAAGATTATTCAACTGGAGTACCAACCAAGGTGCGAAAATCAAAGCAGAATTATTATAAATAAATAAAACTTTTGGTCCGACAGGTTTTCAAATGCGCGGGACAGCGAAAAATATTTTTTATTAATGATTTGTTGCACCTGTTCCTAAAAAAAAAATTGCTCGAGAGGATTAGGTAACACTTCGCGCTCTTGAAGTATAGTCCAATAAATACAATTTCTTTGTTAACTTTTATGATAGTCTCTGTAGGTTAAAGATCGAGGCGGATTCATCAACCACAAATTCATGACTATGTTACTTTATAAAATTTAAATAGGTGATACAAAATTGGTCGAAAGCTGTTTCGACAGAACTTCCCTCGCACCTAAAGTACAGTGAAATAGATCCAGCATTTTTGAGCTGAGTTTTTACTTTACAGAATTTTGTGATGACGTCATCAACATTTTTGCAAGGACACGTATATCAACTTGGTGTGATGTAGTGTAATACTAAAAATAACATTATTGAATTCGCAATATTTTCTGGGAAAATGGAGTGAGCCGTTCCTGATTTAATCAATAAATTGACACATTACTTAATTTTTTTTGAGCCACTTGCATAAGCAAATCTAAAAAATATGAATGCAGTGATAAATCACAAGTAAAAACTCGTCATATTTTTAACATTTCTCGTAGATTTAGGAATTTGACTCGTTACTATGGCAATTTGCAAGTTTTTACAAGATTAATAGGGGCAAAATCAGTTTTATCTTAAAAAATACTAGGCCCGCCCACCCGCCCCTCTTTACTCAGAGGATATATCATTTCCCAAAATCAGTCTTATCTTACCAAGTACTAAGCCCACCCCTTATTTTTTAGAGGATATTTCATTTGCCAAAATCACTGTTATCTTACCAAGTACTAGCTCCGCCCACCCGCCCCCTATCTTTCAGAAAACATGTCATTTGCCAAAATCAGTCTTATCTCACAAAGTACCAAGCCTACCCACCCGCCCTCTATTTTTTCAGAGGATATTTCATTTGCCAAAATCAGTCTTATCTTACCAAATATTAGGCCCGCCCACCCGCCCGCTAGTTTTTCAGAGGATATGTCATTTGCCAAAATCACTTTTATCTTACCAAATACTGCCTCCGCCCACCCGCCCCCTATTTTCTCAGAAGACATGTCATTTGCCAAAATTAGACTTATGTTAGCAAGTACTAGCCCCGCCCACTCGTTCTTTATTTTCTCAGAGGGTAGTACTTGCTAGTACTTACTAAGATAAGTCTTATTTTGGCAAATGACATATCCTCTGAGAAAATAGGGGGCGGATAGGCGGGGCTAGTACTTGGTAAAATATGACTGATTTTGGTAAATGAAATATTCTCTGAAAAAATAGGGGGCGGGTGGACGGGGCTAGTATTTGGTAAAATAAGAGTGATTTTGGCAAATGATATATCCTCTGAAAAAAGAGGGGGCGGGTGGGCGGGGCTACTACTTGGTAAGATAAGAGTGATTTTGGCAAATGACATATCCTCTGAAAAAATAGGGGGCGGGTGGGCGGGGCTAGTACTTGGTAAAATAAGAGTGATTTTGGCAAATGAAATATCCTCGGAAAAAATAAGGGGCGGGTCAGCGGGGCTAGTAATTGTAAGATAAGAGTGATTTTGGCAAATGACATATCCTCTGAAAAAATAGAGGGCGGGTGGGCGGGGCTAGTACTTGGTAAGATAAGAGTGATTTTGGCAAATGAAATATCCTCGGAAAAAATAAGGGGCGGGTGGGCGGGGCTAGTACTTGGTAAGATAAGAGTGATTTTGGCAAATGAAATATCTTCTGAAAAAATAGGGGGCGGGTGGGCGGGACTAGTAATTGGTAAGATAAGAGTGATTTTGGCAAATGCAATATCCTCTGAAAAAATAGGGAGCGGGTGGGCGGGGCTAGTACTTGGTAAGATAAGAGTGATTTTGGCAAATGAAATATCCTCTGAAAAAATAGGAGGCGGGTGGGCGGGGCTAGTACTTGGTAAAATAAGAGTGATTTTGGCAAATGACATCCCCTGGGCGGACGTAGTATTTGTTAAGATAAAACTTATTTTGCCCCTATTAATCTTGTAAAATTTAAAGGTGTCAAATTGCAAATTTCCATTGTAACGAGATCTAAATCTGGTTGGATATTTATTTTTTAACAACTCAATCATTAATTTTTTTAAGACACCCTGTATAAGCAAATTCAAAAAATATTAATTATATATTAAAAATAAATTAGTATAAACTCATCATATTTTGCACATTTAAGATAGGGTATATTCAGTAATATTTTGAGGTGACGTCATCAATTTTTTAGGGGGGATGACCAAATATATTTTGATCAAAAATTTACCATGCTTATGATAACTTTAAAACATCTCCAAGATTTCAAAGGATTCGGTTGTGCAGTTCCTGATTAAGTCAATAAAATAAATTCACGCATTCATTAATTTTTTTGAGTGACCCTGTTTAAGCACACTGATCATATTTTGCACATTTTAGATAGTATTTATCCGGTAAAATTTTGAGATGATCAATTTATTTATGGGGATAAACAAATATATTTTGATTAGAAATTGATTATGCTTACCATAAATTTAAAACATCTGCAAGATTTCAAAACAACTAAATGTTGTTTTATAATTTTGATTTTTTCCCAAAAATCTGGACGTTTTGGGTAAAAACTCAACACGGAGTCATAAACTACATGTACAATTTTTTAATGAGGTCATCACAATATTGGTGGAGATGATTGGTTAGCGTTTTACCATCTAATATAAATGATATTCCTAACATAAATACAAAATTTGACAACAATTGGCCCAGTACTTTCCGAAATTATCCGTCTAATATAAATCAGGACGGTGGACAGACGGACAGACAGACAGACAGACGGACGGACGGAAACGGGCGACCTATTTCTTCGTACTCTAGGGGTCATGAAAGATCGAGAAAACGTAAAAATAGAGAGTCGGCCGACGGATTCGATTACAATACTTCCTTCGCTTACGTTCGGTAAAGTAAAATTTTAATATGGTGATATGATAAGACAACTTTTGGTTAGTGTTTTATCATCTCCACCATATTCTTTAAATACAAATAAAACTTGAGAACAAGCATTCCGATAATTTCGTAGATTATTTGTCTAATAAAATCGACACAAACGAGGTACGACAGACACAGAAACGGAAGACTAAATTTTTCCATGCCCTAAAGTGGACAGCTTGGGAAATTGAACATCATAAGAAAATTAGCGTTTTATTTTCTTGGAAGCATTTAATTCTAGTCAGTGTTCAATTGATTTTGATTTATTACTTCCCGAGCATAAGCTAAGGAAGTGCAGTAATCAAGCCCCTCGGACGAATGGCCACTTATATATTTTCTCGACGTTTCATGACCCCTAGAGTATGAAAAAAGTAATCTCCGTTTCCGTCTGCCTGTCTGCCTCTCTGTGTGTCTGTCTGGTGTCTGTATCCATTTTTATTGGAGACATATCTCCGAAACTGCTGGACCGATTGTTGTCAAATTTTGTGTGCATATTAGAAATGTCAGATAGAATTTTATCATTTTTCAGAGAAGCAGTGTTTACTGGACTGTACTTTAGAAGCGAGGGAAGTTCTATCTAAATAATTTTCGACCATTTTTTTATTTAAAAAGCCATAATGTGCATATATTTTCGTAATTTGATAAGAAAATTAAAAAAAGCGAGTGATTAAATTAGTGATTTTTTTAAACAATCCTTGACTGTCAGTGTAATGAAATTTTATGATACC